CTCTTCACTTTCTCTCCCCAGGGAATACCATCACTATGCCAACTGCCTCGGGGGCCAAAAAGCGCTTCTGGATTATCGAGGACATGTCTCCGTTCGGGAAGCGCCGCAAGACGCCGTCGTCCCGCAAGATGCTGGACGAGGGGATGATGCTGGAGGGATTTCGGCGCTACGACCTCTACGAGGACTGCAAGGACTCGAGCTGCCAGTTCTCCCTGAAGGTCACCCACTACCACTGCACGCGGGAGAACTGCGGCTACAAGTTCTGCGGCCGCACCCACATGTACAAGCACGCGCAGCACCACGACCGCGTCGACAACCTGGTGCTCAACGACTTCAAGCGCTTCAAGTCTTCGCTGAGCTGCAACTTCCCAGACTGTCAGTTCTCTGGCAACAGCACACACTTCCCTGCGGCTTCCGCTGCACCGACAGCACCAAGGTGACGGCTCACCGCAAGCACCACGGCAAGCAGGACGTCATCAGCGCCGCCGGATTCTGCCAGTTCAGCTCCAGCGTGGACTGCGGCATGCCCGACTGCAAGTACAAACTCAAGTGCTCCCACTTCCACTGCACCTACCCCGGCTGCAAGCACACCGTGGTGGGCATGTCGCAGATGGACTCGCACAAGCGCAAGCACGAGAAGCAGGAGCGAGGGGAGCTGCCTGCCATCTCTCCCGGCCCCGAGGGGCTGGTGCACTCCACTCTCGAGTATGACATCCAGAACTCTTCCATCAACCTGGACAGTTCCCTCAACCTCAGCACTGACAACAACAGCTCCCTCTTCTTCCTGCAGAACGCGGCCGGCGTGGGCCTCGGCGACTCCCTGGACCTCAGCAAGAAGCAGGCGGAGGCCGCGGAGGGTCCGTCCCCGAGCAGAGCCGGCACTGCCCCCCAGGAGAGCGGCGCGGCCGCGGCCGGAGACGCCGAGGAGGAGGATGACTCTTCCCAGGAGGACGAAGAGGATGACGAGGAGGAGATGAATGAAGAAGAGGAGGATGATGAAGAGGAGGATGACGATGATGACGACGAGGAGGATGATGAGGAGGGAGACCTGAACACAGATTCTGAAGAATCGCTGCCCGACCCTGAAGGTCTGGCCACTAAAGAAGATGGAGAACCAGAGGAGGCTGCTCCTTCCACAGACCAGGGCGATGCTTCCAGGCCACAGGGCGAGACAGCCCTTGCTCCAGCCCCAACTCCTGCTCCAGCTCCAGCTGCTGCCCCAGCCTCCACCGCTGCTCCAGCAGCTTCTCCTTAATCCTAGAGACAACAACGGCAGTGGTTTGGTTTTGCTCTTACACAGAATTACTAAGAGGACCCCATATGAGGCGAGAACAAAGATTGGGATGGCAAGTGAAAAACAAACTCCGTGCCACACACCCATATGAGAGAGAGAGAGAGAGAGAGAGGAAGGAAACCCCTGCTCCTCCCCAGGCCCCTAAGAGATCAGTTGGCAGCAGGACTGGTGCTGCATCACTCCATTCTACAGAACAGGGGGGCAGGATGCAGCAAAAATTCCCTTTCCATGGACATGAACCTTGAGGGTACCTGCTGCCTTCCCTTTGCCCCCTGCATGGTGCGTGGGGCCTGTGCCCATCTGGGGACCCTTTGTTATGGGTGGGGCTCTATCCCCCCAATTTTCTTTCTGGGTTTTATTTTTTCCATGTTTTCAGTTGTACGATATTAATAATAATCTCCACTTCTTGGAGGGGGGTGGGTGGGAAGCACAGGTGATGAGTTTTAGCGAGGTGTATACATATCTGTGTGTGTGTCTCTCTGTGTAACAATGTACACACACACACAGATATACCTTCAAGGAATGGGTGTCAAAGACAAAGAGCTCAGCTTTGCCAGTGGGAAGGAGGGGTGAGGGGTGTGCTCTCTCTCTCCAGCCCTCCCCCTTCTCTCTCCAGCATTAAAGGAATGGCCTAGGACAGCCAGGGTGGGAGTGGGTATTTATTGTCACATAAGTGAGGACGCATTAACGAATGAGCAGGGGTGGGAATGGGACACTCCTCTGTTCTTCCAGATCCTTTTTACTATTAATGATAATAATTTTGAATGCTATTTATATTGTAAAACTTTCTCAGTCTACACTTTTCTCTGTAGGACACCTCTCCTCATCCCTGCTGTTCTGCCTGTAGGGATTTAGCTGAAGTAACCTGGGAAGAACACAGTGAAAGGGTCTGTCACACTGGAGGACTGGGGTTAATCTGCCAGCCAGTTCCATCTCATCCCAACCCCCAGGTGCTTCCTCTCTCTGCTGAGGGTGAGGCGTTTTTGTGGTGCTTCAGTATCCCCATCTCAGGAGGCTGAGCTGCCCCAACCCTCGGGGCAGCACGGGGAGCTCTGTGCTCGCAGAATTTCGTCCTGGCCGCTAGAGCAGCCTGGAGAACACACCTTGCTCTGACCATACCAGGACAGGTATGTCCCAGTCCCCAAGCCCTCGTCCCCAGCCTCTCACTGCAGACAGGCAAGTCTGTCTGCACGGATCTCTGGTGGCTCCTGGGAGAGGGTGAAGGCAGTGCTGACATGGGAGGAGAAGGCAGGGCTGGATTCAGGTGTCCTGCTCAGCACTGGGGCAGGGAGGACACCCCTGGACCCTTTGCCCAGCTGCAGGTTGTTGCAGCTCCAACCCCCAAGGTGCTGCAGCCCAGAGGACGCAGTGCTGAGGCCAGCAGAGAATTAATGCAGTTCTGGGGCCATGCTGATAAATTTTGACATTTAGGGCTAATAGCTTGGGCACTGCAAATGCAACTACACTGTGCTGAGACCTGCCACCTCCAGCAGCTTGGGCTTTCCCCTGGTTACGAGCTCTTCCCTGCTCTCTTCTCCTAGCCTGGTCTGGGAACACACACTACAGGACACTGTCCCAGACTGTGGCAGGTGAGACAGTAGCTGTTTGCCCCCAAATCCTCACCTGAGCCTGAGAGGACTTGTCTACACACACCAGGGCTCCAGAAGGACTAGTATGAATTAATTCTGATACGATAGTTGTTTTGGTGCCAGTTTGTAACTATACCAGCCTAGTCTGAGCTTTGTCCCTGTTTAAAACAAAACCAACCTAAGGATCTTTTCTAACACCATGCAGGGACTCTGCCCTCCCTTCCTCAGCCCCAAGGGATCCCCAGCATTTGTTTCACCCTGAGCAGATAAAGGCCTCAAGAAGTTTAAGTTGCTTGGTTGCTTTTTTTTTTGTTTTGTTTTGTTTTGTTTTCCTCTTATTTTTTTTTTAATTATTTCCCTAAGGAACTGGTGCAGATCAGGTCTGATTTATAAACAAGCAGCTCAGCTGTGTAAATGTGGGGACAGCATGTTCAGATAATGTTTCAAAAGGAAAGCAAAAAAAAAAAAAAAAAGTTGTACAGTATTTTTCCTGTAAAGGTTATTACTATATATAGAACAAAAGAGAAACCACCACCGCCAGGGGGATGAGGGGGGGTCACCTGCCTTCTGGATAGCCCTTAGATATGGTTAATTGTGTGCAATTTTTTTTCTCCTGTTTTGTTTTTTTTTTTCTCCTTCAATGTAGTGTTTGTTTGTGGGGGTGGCAGGGGAGGGGGGGCCCTAAGGCTGCGGTTTGAGGCTGATTTCACACTCCCAGCACTGACCGGAGCCGCACGAAAAAAAAAAAAAAAAAAAAAAGTTGTACAGTATTTTTCCTGTAAAGGTTATTACTATATATAGAACAAAAGAGAAACCACCACCGCCAGGGGGATGAGGGGGGGTCACCTGCCTTCTGGATAGCCCTTAGATATGGTTAATTGTGTGCAATTTTTTTTCTCCTGTTTTGTTTTTTTTTTTCTCCTTCAATGTAGTGTTTGTTTGTGGGGGTGGCAGGGGAGGGGGGGCCCTAAGGCTGCGGTTTGAGGCTGATTTCACACTCCCAGCACTGACCGGAGCCGCACGATTCCGAACTCTAACTTGAATTTATTTTTTTTTTTTTTGTAGAGATGAAACAAATGAAAACAAAACAAATGAAATATTGTTATTACTAGTTTGTAGTTTATTTAATTCTTTGGAGTTCTTTTCCTCTATCAGCTATTTGTGTGGCTTTTTATTTTTATAGGGTTTTTTTGTTTGTTTGTTTGTTTTTTGTTTTGTTTGGTATATCCCCTGCCCTCAGCTGTGTGTTCCCTAGCACAACCCAACTCCTGAATAGAATGAAGCTCACGTTCCTGGGGCAGAGTGATGGAATGATGCCCTGGAACTTCTCAGAGTGGGATGGGGCAAGAAGATTTTACTTTTACCAGCGTTTGCTGCAGGTTCTGTACTTGTACATTTTCCCCATGTTAGATAGTGTGGTGATGGGCTCCGTGAGGAATCCTTGGATGTAACACAAAGCCACATCTTGCAAAGCAGATGTGTTTGTTCTGTACCACCCAAGCCAACAGGATCTCTCCCAGTGACTGTGGGAGCAGGACTGAGCCCCTGGCACGAGGGGACGGGACCTGCCCGCGAGCGGTGCCGGTGGCACGAGGCTCCCTGGGGCTGTTCCTGCTGCTGGAGCTGGAACCTGCACCTGACACAGTGTTTTACCTCTCCCCTATCTCACCAGCCTCCACGGGGTGAGGCTCTGCACAGCAGTGGGGGCAGGCAGTGGAGACCAGGGGCACAGTGTCTGCACAGGACCCGTCCCACACCTCCTGCTGCCTGGCTGAGCGTGCCAGAAGGGCCTGTGTTTATCTATGCACACCATTTTCTCCCCCCAAGGCACCCTACTTTTCTCCCTGACATCTCAGCCCTTCTCCTAACCTTCTATCACCTCTTCTCCAGGAGCTGGCCCAGGGAAGGACGTTTCTTTCCCAACAGGCTACTGCCAAAGGTGCCACCTGAGCAGGGTCAGACACCCCTGCAGGACAGTGGCCAGGCCTGACCCCGGAGTGTCCTTCTCCCAGTCTTGTTTCTGTCACTCTTACACTGTCTCTGTTTGCAACAACAACAACAACAAGTCAAGAAAGTTAAACCCAACTTTTTCTTCTGTTCAGGCTTTAATTCAGCAAAACCCTTAAGCAGATGCTTTTGGAAGGGGTTGAAACCCAAAAGCTTAAGTGCTTTTCTGAACAAGAGCCTCAGCAGCTCAAGGCTCCCTGTCAGAGCAGGTGGTTTGTCACTCCAACTGTCATATCAATGGGACTGTCCAACAATGACCAGAGAAAGAGAGGGAGACTCAACTGATCATGAGGAGGGGAAAGAGGAGAGAGGAAATGGAACTATTCTGTCCAAAACAAGATTAAAAACCAAACAAAATAAACCTTGAGATGGACCCTCCTGATTCTGCTACCATTCACTGCTGAAGAGCAAAAAAAATATAAAAATAATGAAATTATTGACTAGATTGTTCATTCTAGCCACAAACTCAACTGGATTAAAGTCTGTGTGGAAGGAATTTTGTAAAGAAAAAAAAAAATTAAAAAAATTTTCCAATGTAGCAAAAAAAAAACAAAAACAAAAAAACAACTTTAAAAAAACAAAAATGAAAAAAAAAAAGACAATGAGGGAGGATTCTAGCCTTTTGTAATATCCATATTGCACACTAGGACTATAAGCCATTGCTAGCTCATTTTGAATTTTAAATGTGTAATTTTTTTTTGTTTTGTTTTGTTGTTGTTTTATTTTTTCTTTCTGTGGGGGAGGGGGGGAAATAAATGCTTGAACCACCAATGCTCTTTTTAATGTTTTATAAATATGTATGTGTATATATATAAATATAAAAATAATATGTATGCA